AAGAGCACACATCCCAGCTGCCAGCACTGTTGTCCCTGCTACAGAAGCAGCTGAGTTTGTCCACCTGATAACAGCCCAGTGTCATTGTTCAGGAGGAATTAATTTGGTGTAGCAGACCAGGCCAAGCACACTTTGTTTGCCCTGAATGTTGAGCAAAGGGGAGCCTTGGTTAAAGGGATATGCAGTTGCTGTGGTTTTGTGAGAATGCAGATGTAAAGGGAGATTGGAAGACAAAGAATGTGACTCTGAGTATTATGGCTGGCCAGTCTGTCATCCTGAGGATCAAATTCTGTAAGTTTTGGAGTTTTTTTCCAGCTGGCAGTTAGATGAATGAGCATCACTAGTGAGAGAGTTTTCTGGACAGGGTAAGAGACATTTTATCAGAAAGGTACACAGTGGCTGCTGAAAGTGGTTTCCTTACTGGAAACCTAAACCAGTGTGTGCCTGCTGTAATCACAAATTCCAGAAATTCTGCATGACATGCTGTTACTGAAACGTGTTGGATTAGTGCAGAGCTCTCCCAGAGTCTATCTGTTGCTGTATTCTCATATGCTGAGAAGTGATGATCATGCTTTGTTTTCTCACATTCCACAGTGCTGAGCCTCTTACAGAGCAAATTGAGTGAAAGGCAAGATCTGCACCACATTTTGCAAACACAATAAATTCAAGTGCTTAAAGGATTATAAATATCTTAATAAGAAGGTGTGATTTTGACTCCTTGACCTGGACTCACTTCCAAATCTACACCCAACTACAGCTGGTTATGTGGGCTGGGAAATCAAAGAATTTGAGGGTCACATCACTGGGTGACCTGAAGGACAGGCAAACCTGGTTGGCACTGGCTTGGTGAGCCCACCTAGGCTCAGGTGTCACTTTGGGTTGGTTTCACCATCAGGCTGATAACTGTTCCATAGATCAGTAATGAAGAGCCATCCAATCCTGGAATGTATGTAGGCCTTTCCAATAGAGGCAACAGTGGAGAATAGCTGCTGTTGTAGATTGTTACCTAAAAAAAATCTCTCTTTTTGAAGTAGCTGGAATGCTACTGCTATGAAATTTGTCCAGTTCTTTTTACTCCTGCTTATCATTTGCACAAGAAACAATTCAGAGGTTCTTATTCCAGGAATCATGCTTTTTTGCATTCTTCAGCTTATCTTTCTTTTGCAAAAAATATTCACTGCAGCAGCTGAATAAGCAATTATTGCATCACAGAAGTCTAAGGTTATGCAGATATTAACCTCATTTCTTGCTTTGAACTCCCACAAGTTATTGCAATCCTGTTGAAAAATCCTTTTTTTTAAAGCAACATTTTCTTGTATACATCATGTCTGTGAAAACATAGTTCTGAACCAGCATATAAATGCATCATGCACAAATAATGTTTGAATATTTTTGACTTTAATCATGCCCTATCTGATAGATTTTCTTCATGACATCTTTTGTAAAATTAGAGGACTTAGTTCCAGCTGTGTTTCTGCTGTCTTCTTCCCAAGACTCCTGAAATCTCTCTCACAGTCCAACATACACCAGGTATCCACTAGGACAGACATCCTTGCTGTTGCCATACTGACAGAGCTCAAGCTGTTTTGGATGCCCTGCTGCACATACCTTTGTACAGGAACAAAGGAGGGATAAAGTTGCATTGGATTTTATCCAAAGTGAACCTGGGATTTTCTGAACAAATCAGTAAGCATGCAAAATTACTGCATCTGATGAATGATGCTATTAACAGAGCTCTGGTTTATCCTCATATTTTTCTGTCTTGTGATACCACAAAGCTGAATCAACATTCCTCAATTTTACAAAATGGATCTGACACCGTGTTTTGGCATGTTACAACTTTCCTGTAGGGTTTCTCCATCCAAATAAAAGGGCACATTTAATCTGAACATCTGATGATGCCACCAGCATTTCCCATAACTGCACTGTCTTTAGGATGCCTGAGATTTCTGATTTTTTGATCGTCGCTGGCACTGCAGGTCTGAGGTGTGCCAGGAGCCCACCAGCTGAAGTAAGAAATGTGGTTAAGTCAAGAAAAAAACCCAAACTATTATTTTCAATGAGATTCCTTGAGTTGTCATAATCAGAGTAGTTTCTGCCTTGTGCTTCTCACTGCCTGATTCTTTGCCCACCCTGCAGTACCAGCTCATAGTTGGGAGAGGCTGCAGGGAGGCCACAGCTCCTCTGTGCTCTTGGTCCCCTGAAGAGGGTGAAGAAGGCACAAATAGCCTCAGTATGAACTTTTTGCACAAGGATTTCCAACTGGCACATGAGTGTGCACGCGTGTACAGCTGAATCAGCAACAAAACTGCACCTGGGAGATGGTCTGTCCTGTTTCTAAGTACTTATTAGCAGATCTTAATGCCCAAATGGAATTACTTCCAGTGCAATCAGAGGTTGACACCTAATATGTGAGACACACACTTTGAGATTTTGAAAGAGTAGGGATTTGCCCGTGAACTACTGTTTTTAAACCAAATTGCAAAGCCAAGAGAAAATATTTTTCACTGTTTAATTGTTACATTTTAGAAGAATGGCTTTGAGGGTGGAGCACTTTTTTTACTGCTTGTTTTTCACTTCCCTCTATTCTCAGGAGATGTCTGGCAGGATCTTTAGAGGGTATGAATTGTGATGTCACCAAAACAATGGGCCTGGACCACAGTTCTCCTTCAACAAACTCTCCATGATCCTTCTTTGCTTGGATGCACTCCTTCAGACAAGCTTGCTTAGCTTGGCCTGCTTTAAATTCTTGGGTTATTTGGTTGGAGTAGAGGTGTGTTGCCAGGGCTTGGAGAGAAGAGCTGGTGTCCAGAGCCAGGGATTGTCCTTCTGGGGAGGAACTTGGCTAAAGACTCATTTGTACAAAGCCCTGCAAAAACCTGCAGCCAGCTCTGCATTTCAGTTAAATGTGTATCATTTTTCAACACGCTTAAGATTGATTGCAGACAGCAGCACTAAAAATAAGGTTATTTGTGATGCTTTGTATGAAATTTGATGCATATGAGTTTGTCAGAGAGTGTCCCTAAGCCCAAAGAAGAGCTCAGACACAAATGCATGGATTTCAGGCAGAGTTTTATTTACTAGACTAGTTTAATCCGAAGCATTATAAATTGCACTTAGCTTTCGGTCACTGGCATGAATTCTGGACACACTGAGGGATTCAAGAGAAATATTGCCTTGACTTAGTAATGACAGAATTTTGACCATTATTTTGGGTAAGACTAGAAGAATGACCTGGGTCATAGAATACAGAGCACTGTTACAAACCAACACTTAAATGCAATTCTGTTTGTATTCTGTTATAATGATTTTCTTACTAAAACGTGTTTGCTTTACTTGATCCAATAGTTTTGATTATTCTTTACTGTAATAATTCTGTAATACTGCTATTTTTGTTGACAGGAACTCTGTCCTTTCACAGGTTTTACTTATCTATGCCTAAAATGATCTGTTTCTCCCAGTTTCTCCTCATTTAGCAGGTCTTTGATTCCCCTAATCATCCTCCTAATCTTTCTTTACACATTTTTCATTTTGATGTAATCCTTCCTAAGCAGGGAAAGCCAGGAGTCTGTGCAATACTACAGAGCTTTGCACTATAGAATTGATAACTGCCTTAAGAGTACCTGCCTCAAAATACCTGATGCATCCTAAAATCTCACTTAACTCTTTCATTTTTGCTTTGAATTATAATCACTAGTTGGGAATATAGATTGTTTCCTGCAATTAAAAAACAAAACTGAATTACTGGAGGGAATTACTTTCTCTATGTGTTTTCATCTGCTTTTGCCTTCCCCACATGTGAACTCCTTGATGATCTCAGATGTCTTTTCCAACCTGAATGATTCTGTGGTTCTATGAAGGTGATCAGCTGGTACTTTCCCAGATCTTCTCTCTTGTCCTTCTTGAAGTCAGGGAGACACTTGTTCTCCTTTATCCTTTGGGAGCTCCTCTCATTCACCATGAGCTCCAAGACCATTGTGTGTAGCCTGGCAATGTCACCATCCCTGTCCCTCAGCACTTGTGGGTGAAACCTGTCAGGGCCATCAGTCAAACAACTTAGGAAACAGAGAGAAATCATAGAAAGCTGTTCCTCTGGAGAACCAAAGAGGGTTTTTTTACATAGTTTGCATATTTGTTACACAAGGAGCTGTTCAGTGTTCAGACTACAAGACAATTAATAGAAAAGTGTGACTCCTGTTTTATTCCAAGTTCTGATACACCTGCTGTGCGCTGAACTTTTGCTCTTGGAACATGAAGCAAACCTGTAGTGCTTGTCAGTTCATTAACAGTATTCAGTTTTATTAAATTAGAAGCTTGCAAAAATATACTCTGCACAAATAATTGTCTTTGGGGTGGTTCCCCTTAGTTTCAGTGTTGGTGTAAGTTGGTAACAGGATTAATTTTTTTCATATGTTAAGTGATCAAAATACCATGTACTTTTTTGTTCCTCTCTACAGTACTTTTGCATTTGCACAGACATACTTCTGAGTAAAAAACTGAAAAGAAATTAACTGGATAATAACCTCAGGAAAAAAACAGTTCTGCAAATTTCCTTGTAATGAGATTAATTTTTTTTCTATCAGGTATTTGATTTATCCTGTATTTTTGAGAATTTTAAAAGGTTGCTTATTGTTACTGCTGCTTTTAATAAAGGAGTGCAATACCAAAGATCCTTTTATTTGGCAGGACAATCTGAACTGGTTTCTGCCTGTGTATCAGTCCTTAAGCTGTGTCTTTGTGTGGAATGTTAGGAGAAAATGCAGCTGGCTTCACCAAGAAAGGAAAACCTCCAGCACTGGGCTGTATTGCAAGGTGCTGACAGGTGCTTTGTTTGGCCATGGCTGCCTTTTGTATGGGTGCCCTGTTTTGTGTATGTAAGTCAGGAGGGAAAAACTGACTTGCTTCTGTTTGGTTGGGGTTTTTTAACTGGCAGATGCAATGCCACTTGTTAAGATTGTATTAAATATATTGTGTTTTTCTCTCTTTCCTCATTTCTACAGATCTGTCAGTGGAAGAATGCTGTGACAAGGGTGTTGAATGGGCAAACAAAAACAGAATATGTGCTTCTCTGCCGTTAATATCCGAGTCTAGAGAATGCAGGTAAGTAGTCACATATTATGTATTAAAACACAGTTTATACTCTGATATTAAACCATAGGAATGGCAGGTGTTAAAGCTAACTTAGAAGATGAAGCACCCAACTCTTACATCCCAGCTTTTCAACTCCATATGTAGCTTTGGGGAGTACTTCCTGAATAGGTAATTTTCATCCAATTCAGTCCTTTTAATTTTTGGTGTAAGTCCAGCATAGATTCACCCAGCCCTGACCCATGTGGCATGTACTGTCTCTTGCTCAGAGGTTTTCCCTCTGTGCTCTGCTCACAGGGCTTGGGCTCTGCCTGCAGTCAGGGTATCTCCAGGCTGGTTGTGGATCTGGCCACCTGTAGCTATGATATTTTATGAAAAATCCTTTGCTAGGATTTTTCCCTCCTGGGAAGCTGAGGAGCTTCAGGAGAGAAATGTAAACAATAACTATCTGCTGCTGTGGAATGCCACAGGTGCATCTTCCATTGGTCCATGTGGATTGTTTCCAAAGGATGACCAATCACAGCCACCTGTGTCGAGGCTGTGAGCAGTCACAAAATTTTGTTATGCATTCTATTCTTGTTCTTTCAAGCCCTCTGATCAATCTTTTCTCTCTGTTCTTTTAGTATAGTTTTAATGTAGTATTTTAATATAATATATACCTTAATATAATAAATGAGCCTTCTGAGAACATGGAGTCAAGCCTCGTGTCTCCACACATGGGGCACCAAACACAACAGCCACCTTTCTGGGCAAATGTTCATAAGGGAACACAGCAGATCCTGCACATGACTAATCTATGATTTGAATAAGCACATGTGTGTACTTTATGTAGGATAAATCATAAGTACATATGTGAGGCAGCCTTCTGTGGTGCTGCACAGGTAATTGTCCTGCAGTCCTTAGCTGAACTAAGCTTTGATTTCCCCCACAGAGTGATTCAAGGAAATTCCTAATTAGTTCAGCTTAGGAAAGGAGCCTACAAGAAAGATGGAGAGAGACCATTTACAAGGGCTTCACACTGACAGAGAGCAGGCTTAGATTAGGTATTAGGAAGAAATTCTTCCCTGTGAGGGTGGTGAGGCCCTGGCACAGGGTGCCCAGAGAAGCTGTGGCTGCCCCATCCCTGGAAGTGCCCAAGGCCAGGCTGGACAGGGCTTGGAACAACCTGGGATAGTGGAAGGTGTCCCGGCCCATGGCAGGAAGGGTTGATGAGATGAGCTTTGAGGTCCCCTCCAACCCAAACCATTATGTGTTTCTATGATTCTATGAAATGCATTTGACTGTAGAAAATAGAACCCTTCATTTAATATACAGATTTCTTAATTCTGCTGAGAATTGACAGGATATTTCTGTTTGGTAATCTACTAAATGAAATAATGAAAGCAAATGTTTAATTAAGATTTTGATTCTACTGCATCTCTTATGTTATTATGGCATTTGTACTTTTTATGTCAGTGATCATTTGCATTATTTTTGCTGTTACATGCACTTGTTACATTTAATTAGTGTGGCAAACAACTGGTAGTTTGAGAGGCAGAGAAATTTGTATTTGAAATACTTTGCTTTGCTCCCCCCTACTCAAACAGACTGCAGTGTGATTTAGCCTTGGTAATTATAGAAGGGTTGAGTTGATCTTTATTACAGAAAGAATGTGTCTTCCAGGGAAGCTGATCTGTGTTTTCTGACTTTTGCATTTACACTGGCATTGAAAGCAGCCTCTTACGCAGAAGAATTGACAGATAGGAAATAAATCCAATTTAGGAAATAGCTGAGGATTCATAAGAATTACAGACAAAACAGAGGCAGGAAAAACAGGAAACCAAGTTTATTGAACAATCTGGGAGTATCTTGATGATTTAATAATAATTTGATTAATGTGAGTTGAGATTCTGCTGCAAATAATTTATTCTTCAAAATATTTTAATTTTAGAGACTTACTAGGACTTCATACGAACTGGAGAAAAAATTCACTAATGATCTAGCTTTTGTGCATAACTGAGATGTAGTTAAGAAAATTACACTAGTAAAATAAAATGCACATATTCTGTGAGAGGTATGAGCACTTCTTGACAAAACCTTAAGTTGATAAACTCAGTTTGGTTGCATTTATTCATGACTGCATGCTCCCCATGAAGCTTGGTTTTGCTCTAAAAATCACTAAGTAAAATTGGCACCTTGGAGAACTTTTAAAAACACCAATATTATTCTATTCCAGTTGTAATTGCAAACTGGCATATCTGTGAGAGGTACAGAAAAATCACTTTAGGATGCCATTTCAGACACAAAGGTCAGGGCCAAATTCTGCTCCTAATTTCTGTTGTAACTGGAGCCAGGATGAGCACTGAGGGAGCATGACTCTTTCTGAAGGCACATGAGGGTATTGACACTGATGTTGTATCTTTATTCCTGTTGCTCAAAGATGGGAACAGAGCTGGGTTCATGGCCCTAGCTGAGATCTAGGCCGGTGAGAATAGGGGATTGGGAAACAAGCTGCCTTGTTGGTCACAGATTTTCAGAAGGACTTGGTTCCTTCACAGACTCCTGCATGAAGTGGAAGCTGCTGGGGGCCACATGTCAGCATTCCTGGGGTTGTTTAGACCCCAGCTGGGATCCCCTGGCCACCCAGTGCAGTGCAGGGTTCACCATCTGACTTGAGTGCTCTAGAAAAGTGGGAGGGTAGAAAGCCATATCCCTTGATGCCAGGGGGAGTTGTTTGCCCTGGATATTTCACCTTCAGTTTGCAACATTAGCAGGTGAATATAAGGGGAAAACGCATTCTGAGGTGAGCAGGCTTGATAAAGCTCCTGAAATAAAAGAGATTTTTTTGCAGTTATTATGCAAATACTGTGCAACACAGAAGAGAATGGGTGTGAGTGCTTTCCCCAGTGTGCTTTACAAGAATTTCCACGCTTGTTTTGAATCATCTCTTTAGAATAGGAATATCAGTGGTGTTTCGGATCCAGTTGCTCCCTCAAAGGAAGCCCAGTGCTAGAGTCTCTTTGTGAGGAACCAGCTGCTTCATTGAGCTGGAATTGCATCCTCTTGGCTGTTTCCCAACCATTTGAAATACATCCATAGTAATCATAGAACCATGGAATGGATTGGGTTGGAAGGGACCTTAGAGACCATCCAGTGCCACCCTTTGCCAGGGACACCTTCCACTGTCCCAGGCTGCTCCAAGCCCTGCCCAACCTGGCCTTGGACACTTCCAGGGATGGGGCAGCCACAGCTTCTCTGGGCACCCTGTGCCACTATTTCACCACCCTCAAGGGGAAAATGTCTTCCACAGAAAGAATTGTTTTCCAACCCTGTCATTCTCGTATCTGCCATGCATCCCAGGAACAAGGTGACAGTTCTGGGTTCCAGTACATTTGTAGTGTGGGAGGATAGAATATAAGAAAATAAAGATAGTGCAGAAAGTAATCTCACCCCTAAGGAGTTGCAGCTGGACCAATTATCAAAGATTAGGAGCAGGGCTGACTTTAACAGGCCACAGCTGCAACCATAAGAAAAAGAGGGCTATAAAAGAGTGGGTTGGCTGGTTGGAAAGGAATTGGAGTTAGTTGGCTACTTGGTGAGGAGGAAGGAGTCAGTGCTCTGAAGAGCTACCCATATAAACCACCCCAGGAAGGTATGAAGCTTTTGCAATAAGGAGATAACAATATGTAACTTTTGCAATAATATACTCTTGAAGTACTCTTCTCCCAAAGTCCCTTGTGGTTCCCAACGGAGCCAGCTGTGTCAGTGTCACTGAGTGTGGTGTGGTTCACACTACAGCCATGCTCAATTTTTGGCCTACACAAGGTGAGCCAGACCGTGTGTGAAGTTCACAAATTCCAAAAATTCCCCCTGGTTGCTCTACTCACTTTTTTTGTCCTACACAAGGTGAGCCAGACCGTGTGTGAAGTTCACTAAATTCCAAAAATCCCCCTGGTTGCTCTTACTCCTGCTTCAAGCTGAGACAAGGCTCTGGGCGCAACGTCTGCAATCTCTCACTGTGGTTTCTTGCCCCACACATGATTTTATCTCACTGCATTATCTCTCTGGACAATGTCAGTGTTTATCTCTGTGTCTTTTTGACTCAGTTAATACAAGTGTAGAATTTTAATGAGTAATATCTCTGGCTGTCATCACAGTGGGTCTTTTCCCATTCATTCATTTTCTCGTGGTGTGGTTAAACTCAAGGCAGCTGGAAAGAGCTGCCAGTTAATTTTGGAACTCAACCTGTCCAATAAGTCTTCTTCCTTTCTAAGTGAAGAGTTTTCCCTGCACAGATCTCTTAGCAAGTTAATTCTCATGCCAGAAACAGTCTATCTCCATATGGTATTTGCATGCCTTTAACAATGTGTAGCCTTTCTGGAATTACACCAGGAATAGCATTATTTACTGGTGTTGCAGGAATGCACGCTGAAGAATCCAAGGCTGGAAGACCTAGCTTGTTTTTGCAAAATCATTCTTTTTCATTTTGATATTTTGTCCAAGACTTTCCACTGTACACGTGAATAGCACTGACATAGCTTGAAGGAAGTGGAATGAGAAAGACAGAGGGTAATAAAAGTATATCAACAAGACATTGTTTTCAGTAAAAAAGTTAAATTTTAGTGCTTTTATGAAAAGAAGAGAAATAAAAAAATAGATGATTATGAAATCTGTGCTGGTTTAGGAGTGTATCCTCTAGACAGGAGAATAATAAATGTGAAAATATTGAGGATGCAAGTGGGTGTGTAGATTTTCATTTGGGAATTAACTCCATGAAAATCAGCCACATTGGTTAAATTTTAGCAGAAAGTAAAGTGAGACTATAAAACATTATTTCTTAACTTGATTTATAATCAAATTATCTAGTAGTGAAATTACTTTTAGATCAACATCTGAAACAACAAATAAGGATTTTTTTCAATGTCTTGGTGATTTTTGTTCACTAATGAGCCATGAATGAATCTCATCCTTCAGAAATGCATGATTTTACCTGAAATATCCTGAATGCATATCAGTTATGAGGCCTCATGCTCCTAAAGTTTCAATATTTAATGTTAGACAATATCTGCCATATTGTGAATACCTGTTTATTTTCAGAAAAATTCTATTGCTCTCTTTTAACTGAAAGTCAGAATAAGGCAGATAAAGAAAATACAGCTTTTGCCTTTTTAAAGTATTACTCTTAATTACAAAAAAAAACAAAAAAACAAAAAAAAAAAAAAAAAAAACCAAAAAAAAAAACCCAAAAAAAACAAACCGAAAGTCAGAATAAGGCAGATAAAGAAAAAAAAACAGCTTTTGGCTTTTTAACGTATTACTCTTAAAAAAACAAAAAACAAAAAAACCAAAAAAACCCAGACTTATAGAAAGGTACTACTTTACTTTCTCTATTTTTAGAGACCAATATTGTAATGGTCCACAGTCTGTCAATGGTACACCTGGAGGTATAACACCAAGAGACAAATCTAAATGTCCTGTTGGCTCCTTCACCTTGCTGGGGAGCAGAAAGAGAGCAGGTATTAGCTGAGGCTGGGAGACACTTGTGATTTAGGGAAGACAGGGAGAGCCCCTGCTCATCTCAAACTCCCTGGAGCCTGCCTTGCTGCTTGATCTGGCAAACAGCAGCACCTGGGCTGGTGGAAGAGGAAAGAGGAAGACCAGCACTGCGCAGGTATTTCCAGTATTTTCCCTGCCATCTTTCAAGGAGTTCTGCTCCTGTTACTGCCACACTGGTGTTTAGAGTCTCGAGCAGTATTTGCTACCAGTGCAACTGGGCTGCAGGATTTGGGCAATGAAGTGTGATTTTATTGTTGTTGTTCTCAGAATGAACAAATGGTGTTTTAATCCAGTATCCAATTGATGTTTAATTCCTTATTACAGTTGGGGTGGACCACATGACTGATGAATACAGCTTTGGGAAACATTTTAACAAACTTTCTTGTTTTGGTTGAAATTGCCTGTTTTTCAGAGATTTCAAAGAGTTGGCTTGTGTTTGAAAAAAACAAAGCCACACCAGGAATCAAACAGATCTACTGAAAGACTGCTGTTGTTTGTTTATTTGTTTGCTTGTCTGTGGCTGACATATCTAGCTCCTCAAGAGAATCTGAAGGGGTAAAGAGGCTGGAAAGTCTCAGCTCCCACACTCTTGGGCTTGGAGTTCAGTTTTCAGAAGCTTCCAAAGCCCTGAAAGTCAGACCACCCTGGAGCTGGGCAGGGAATGGAAATTCTGCTTCAGAGGGAATTTCAACAACAAAAAAGCTACATATTCTTCCAAACTGGAACTAAATCAGATATCAAAAACTTCAAATATCCTGCCAAATAAAGTTACTGGCCTGGACTTAACTTCTTGCTATGATTTTAGGGTCCATTTTTGAATAATTTGTTCATGACTTTATCCTGGCTTTTAGTTCCTATGCATTGATATATCATGGCTGTTTTTGTCCAGTGAGCCTGCACAGTCAGATCATTACTGATGATGGAACTGTATAATTTTAGAGTGGTTTGGGTTGTAAGTGATCCATGTACACTCTAATAAATAGGAATTGGAATCTTCAGGAATGTATCTGAACAACCTGGCCTCACCCACGTGCACAGAGATGCACAATCTGAGCCCAGAACCCACATGTCCTCTGCTTTTAGTTGCCTGGCCTTAGAGCTGAGGGAGCTGGAAGGTCATTTTATGGTCCTGGAGAGGAGGAAAACTCCTCCAGAGGGGATGCATGGTAAGCCATTTATCTCAGGTGATGGTGGGAGAAGCCTGTGGTTCAGTAGTTCCACTAACCCACTCCTCTTCCTGATATTATCAAAATTTCCAGCAGTGGGATAGGGGATATTCAGGAGTACAGGGTATTTTTTCTCTGTGTCCCAGTGTCTGTAACAGAAAGTAGTGGTGGAAGAGCTTTATCCACAAAACTACCCAGCAAAGCAGAGTTACACATAAAAGCAGAGTGGGGAGAGGAGAAAGGACTTCCCTGGGCTTTGTATTCACATGACAGTAGCAACCAGACTGGAGGAGTTTAAAGCCTCCCCATGCAGATTTTTTCCCCCTGCAGGAACAAGTTTCCAGTTTGTCCACTGACATTGAGATAAAATAGAATGATTTAATGAGCAGTGTAACAAAACTAAGTTTCTTGCTCAATTTTATCCTGTCTCCTCTCCATGTCTCCCTGCCCTGAAATATTTTTCTTTCCCTTGTCTCTTTTCCTCTTGCTTGCAATACACTCTGCTCTTTCTCACTGTGATTTCCCTTGGTATCTTCATTTCTCTCCATTATCTCCAGGTGTCCCACAGAACAATGTTCTGATCTTCCTTCCACATGCCATACCTGTTGATTTGGGGCAGCAGGTGTGAGGGAAGACTGGGATTGCAGGTTTTCACAAGACCCAGGGCCTGACTTCTTGTCACATTCATATTTTCTGGAAAAATCCCTTCGCCCAGGATTTTTCTCCTGGGAAGCTGAGAAGCCTCAGAGAAAAAGGAAAGCAATATTATCTCATTTGCTTCTCCTGTGTTTTGCTCCTTTGGAATGTGTTTGGAGATTGTTTACCAACAGGTGATTTTTTCATTCGATTCTGGTGTGAATTGTTTTGACTCATTGGCCAACAAGTGCCAAGCTGTGTCAGGACTCTGGAGAGAGTCACGAGTTTCATGATTATCTTTTTAGCATTCTGTAAATATCCTTTCTGTATTCTTTAGTATAGTACAGCTTAGTATTCTTTAATATAATATAGTATCCTAAAATAATAAATTAGCCTTCTGAGAACATGGAGTCAGATTCCTCATTCCTTCCTGCCACGAGGGACCCTGCAAATACAATAACTTCTCCCTTCCATCAGTCTCCTCAGCCACCAGCTGTTAGAAAACATGCCAGAATGCAGCCCTGAGTTCCTTGAGCCCCGAGACAGGTGTGGTTAAAGTTACCCATTTGTTTAAAAAAGTTGTTAGGGCAGACTGCAAGGTAGATGAGCAATGAAACTGTATTAACCATGTCGCACAGACAATCTGCCTCCTGCCAGAGAATATCTTTATGTTGTAACAATGCTCCCACAGAAACCCCTTTCTACACAAATAGTACAAGTACTAATTGCCAAGTGCTGCATCACCTGTTCCTGACCCACGTGTGGCATTGTTCTCCCCTTTGTTGCAGCATGACCCAGGTGCAGTGCTGCCGCAGCCAGCTGGAGAAGCAGTCCTGCTCCGACGGGGTCGAATTTGCCAACGCGCGTGAGGAGTGCGACTCGCATATTGCCAAAAATTCCACCTGTGAAGCCGAATACTTCAAGGTGAGACACCAGAGATACTCCTCTTTGTCTCTAAGAAGTGGAATTGAGGTTATTTAGGGTTGGCCCTGAAGGTTATTTGACTCGATTTGCATCACGTGAATATTTTTTTTCCCACCTGCACCTCATGTCTCTGTTAAGGTTGTTTGCATGGTCCTTCTATGGAGCCCTGTTCAGCAAAGCAGATTGTCACATTGCATTTTGGCTGAGGCAGAGGGGAGAATGCAAAAGGGTGGAAAATCTTGAATGGGTAATTGCTCAGAAAACTACTTTTGCATGAAAAGAAGACATCAGTGCTGTAGTGACAGATGGGTAAGAAACTCAGACGCATTTCAGACTTCAGCTTCCACTGAAGCATTGTGGCCTAAGGTCACTGGTCAGACTCATTGGTTTTCAGTATTGGTGGTCCAAAGGGGTAGGACTGAAGTTAGTTCTCTCAGAGTACTTATAATTCTAGCTTGTATAAGTGTTCTAAGTTAACATGACTTTCATTTACAGCTGGATGGAGAGATCTGTAAGCCTGTGATACCAGCATTTGATATCAGAATAAAAATGCCTGTTGTTGACATCTGCAATCAATCTGTGCCCTGCCCTCCACCTTTATTACTGTCTTTGCCTCTCACTGCCTGGAAGGGAGCATAGTTATACCTTTCTTTAGAGTATTTTTGGAAGAAAGTTCCACCAGTAAGATCCTGACTATGAACCAGTCATGAACAGCTTTGGTCTTGTTATGGATTTCTTTCCATGGTGATGAGAAGAGATGAGAATGATTTTAGTTCTTCCCACTGCTTCAAGACACTGAATGGTTCATTCAGTTAAAATAAAAAAACCTACTGGACAGAGGATGGCAGACAGTTTCATATTATAGAAAATTCTGGCTTGATCTGCTCCTGTCAGTGGGATGTCACTGATTCTAGGGCAGGGAAGTAATCCAGGGTCTCCCTGGGAGCAGAAGAAAGGTAACCCATGCTAATGAGGCTGACACTTGGGTTCTCCTGAGTCTGTCTGCACGTGTGGGATCTCCTTGTCCCATGGTGTCTCCCAGAGGGGCCATGCATCCCTTGTTGATGATGTCCAGGTCTTGGCACACAGGAATTCCTCTGTACAGCCTTTACTATCTGAATGCAGCACAAAATATTTCACCCTCTGTGTCAATATTTTGAAGGGCTCTGAGCAGATGAACAAGGACTGATGGTGAGGACTCTGCAGACCCAAGTGCTTGTTACCAAAGACAGGATTTTAGCAATAGAACTCTTTTAACCACATGCCACAGGACAGCTCTAAACCAGAATGCAGCTCTTCAAGGAAACCTACTGACTCACCAACTGCCTGATCTTTCCCTATTGAAATGTGTCAACATGAGGAAAAACACTTAACGGTGTTTTTGTAAATGGCCAGACTTCTTTAAAGATGGCAGATTTTGATAGTGACAGTTTTATCGTTAAACAAATTGGACTGGGCCTTGATCTCTGGCTCTGAGAAGAAGTGGCTGTCACGTAGCTGCTGTCCTTCCCCTGCAACACACAGCACAGGAGGGCTGTGCGGGTCTCAGAACACACTTCGGCCTTGTGTGATGGAGTGCTTGTTGCCATTAGAGCTTGCTGGTATTTAAAATTTACAGGTGATTGTGGAGTAATGCCCTGAGCCCACATTCTGTCCCTGTTTAATTTACTGGTATAAACATAGCCTGAGTTAATTAATCTTTGTGAGTCACACTCTGCCCTTCCACTCCCTAAGAGGAGCATCCTACACTTAACAGCTTCACTGAGGTAGGGGTACCTTTGAGGGTAATCTGATCCATGGTGGACATAGGTGACTTATGATCTAATATTAGTGAACAATTCATAATTTCTCTGTTGAATACATTTTGAATTTGATCACCTTGAGATGATCAGTGCCTGGAAGTTGTGTCTTGCTGTAGTAAACAAACTTGAATCTCTTTTTGCCTAAGTTGGTACATTTTTTCAATCTTAGGTCATGTCTTTTGGATCTTCTTTGTTTCCCTTCAAGGAAGCAGAAAGAATGATTTAGTAATTCAATTAGTAGGATTAATTGCAGCCCTTTGCAGCAAATGAGGCAGCAAATCTTTCCTTTGAATCAAAACTTGGGATTGGAAAGAAGATAAAAAGACCATATCTCAAAAATGTTTGCCTTAGCTTTTACACATAAAGGCAACAGGCATAGGAAATGATGGGCAGAATTTTTTTCCTCTGAGCCTTGGAAAAAAAAAGAGATGCAAAATGAATGATTAATCTCTAAAATCTTCATCAAAAGAAAGCAATCAATTTCCAGATGTGATGATAGTACACAAGATGTAGAAATTATTTTCTGGAAGTTTGTACCACAACAGCCCTGCAGAAAGGAGTGCAGCTTCTAGAAATTTGACCACCTTTAAGGTACTTGGACATTTTCCCCAAAATTTGGCATAGATCATTTCCAAAGGTTGAGATCTGTCCTTATCTCAAAAGTTATGTCATGAATATTTTGGTTGTGTGATAGGTGAGCACAAAAATTTTATTGCTTTGGACTGTTGAAAATAGTTTTAATTTTTGTTTAGCTCTTTAAGAGTTCTGGAAAATTCCTCTGAGTTATTAGTGGGGTTTTGGTTAGCATCTAATGGATTTCAGCAAGGGAGAGACCTCTTGTGGACAGACACCAAAAGCTGTGTTACTACAGGGTTCACACCAAAACTGGCTTCAATCCGAACATAAATAATAAGAAATATTGTAGAACTATTGTAAACTTTACATATTCAAAAGACCTTATTAATCTAAGGAACCTTAGACCTTATTAATCTTCAGGTGCTTCCTAATCACACCAAAAATTATATTTTCAAATTCCTGACGTGTAACTTTATTCCTTTGTCCCTTGCTGTGAGAAGGCAGTCAAGGCAGGACACAGCTGTCTACTCTTATCTATTCAAACATGAGGAGCAAGGCATGGCTTGGAAGCTGCATGGGATTTTGCTAATACTAGAGGGGGCAAAGTTTTATATTATTGTTGGGGTGACTTAAGAAGCAGCGGCCTATAGGCAATGAAAGGGTAGAGTAACAAGTTGATTGTTAGGTTGTACCATAAAGGAAAGCAGTGATGGTTCTAGCAAATAAGTAAATGGTCATCAGAACTTGCTTCCAGGCAACTGGCAGCCTTTAGAAAATGGCTGCAAACACCTCAAGAACTCAATTAATATGAAGGTTAGACTGCACTCCTGACTAAAGGATCAAAGGCTTTCAGAGCAGGCCAACAGCCAGGAAATTGGCGTGAAAAAGGAAACATTGAGATTAATTATACCAGGATTGTGCTAGTAGTAGTTCCATGCTATTTTGTGTCTTGGAATTCCGGAGTGGGCCATGAACATAACTTAAAGTCTCCTTATACTGCTGTGCTGTTCCATCAGTTCACCACCTGAGATTTTCTTCTATTGCTCTGGGAGAGGAGTACTTCTCTGAGACCATGAGGTCCCTTCCCACAGGAGACTGTTCTCCATGAACTTCTCCAGCGTGGTTCCACTCTCATGAGCAGCAGTCCTCCCAAAACTGCTGCAATGTGAGTGACTCCCACAGGCAGACAATCCTCCCAAAACTGCTGTGGCATGGGTCTCTCTGCCACAGGGTGCAGCCCTCCAAGGACAGCCTGCTCCAGCCTGGAAGCAGGGCCCTCTCTCCATAGAGTCTCCCACTGGATCACAGCCTCCTCCAGGCATCCACCAGCTCTGGTGTGGGCACCTTCCCCATGGGCTGCAGATGAATCTCTGCATTCCTGTGGATCCCCAGGGGCTGCAGGGGCTCAGCTGCTTCACCCTGGTCTCACATGGCCTGCAGAGGAATCTTGGCTCTGGCCCCTGGAGCACCTCCTCCCCTCCTTCCCCACCGACCTTGCTGCCTCCTTGTTGTTTCCCTCACACATTCTCACCTCCTCCTCTTCTCTATCTGCAATTAAAACTGCCCCACTTTCTTTGTTTTGATTTTCTTCTTAAATATGTTATCACAGAGGCGTTACCATCATCTCTAATTGGCCCAGCCTGGCCAGTGGCATGTCCCTCTTCACAGCCATCAGGGATTGGCTCTGCCAGACATGGTGGAAGCTTCCAGCAGCTTCTCACAGGAGACACCTCTGTGGCACCCCCACTACCAAAAACCAGGCCGTGAAAACCTGTTAAAAAAACACTTGACACTTTCCATCTCTGGATCATTTTGGCTGAGGCATACAAACATAAATTATTCTCATTATCAAGAAGTTACATCAAGGGTCATCATGCACAGTTAGAATAAATACAGGTTGGAACAAATGGTTCAGGGCACACAGTTTTGTTAATTGAAGATGCAGTGTCTTACAGATATTGCAAGATTTAGCAAGTTCTCTCCTTGAAGTTTCACTCAAACTGGAGACAGACGTTTTTCAAGTGGTGGCTTAGCCTGAAAGAAATAAGGAACTTAAGGCTGTTCAACTGTTCAAAAAACAGCAAACTTGATGATCGCTCTTCAAAAAAATTCCAGAGAAACTCTGTAACTCCCAATATGAACATCCTGTGACAAGATAAAGAAATAGACTGAGTCTTCCAGCAGAAGCCAGTGAGGGTGCCAGAATCATATAATGTCAGAATTTGTCAAGGCATCAGCCTATTCAATACTTTAAATAAGATTTGCTTATCAAAAATATGTAGGTTCAAGTCAAGTAATGAATCTTTAGCTCACTTTCATATTTGTCTTCCAATTTATGGTTGGGAAAATTGAAAATTAACAAAATTATTGTCACACATTTAAGAAGGGTGCCTCAGGGAATTGCTTGATATGTTAGAATAAATATTGCGAAATGTTTCAATCATCAGGGGTTTATTTCTAAAGTCATCCAAAAAAGCCAGAGAAGATGGAATTATCCCAGACATAATAGGATGAAACTGGAGCATCTGCCACTGGATGGAAGTATTGAGGAACTAGTAAAAAAAGTGGATAGTAGGAACCATCTCCAAACAAGAGTAAATAAGGGAAAACATTTATCCTAGAGACTGGGAGGGCATGAAAACAACACCCCAGGAGAGAGGAGTTCCAGCCCCACAGCAGTCTGCAGCACAGAAAAGTTTCTGTTGTGTATTTAATGACTTCATACAAAATGGAATACTTACATACTTCAGGATGCTGTTACTGTCTTGATTTCACACTGCTCTAAATTTTGAAAGTGCCTTTCAGTTCAGTACAGGGAGAGAAACATGTAATTCCTTCCAAGGGAAAACTTAGAATATAGGCAGGGATAGACGTTTCAAAGTAATGCAAAGCATTTCATAGTTGCCTTCATTTTAGCAGGTGTGATGCTTAAAGCACCAAACTATAGACATTTAGTTGAAAGTTTAGTTATTTTATATTCCATCTGTTCTGTCTAATGGTGCAGGCAATTTTCTTCAAGAAAAATGGAGTCTGGAAGATCTTAGAAAACTAATAAAAAAAGCTTAAATCTGCTTTCATGTGACAGTAGCAATTGGCAGACACCAGTTCCAGAGAACCAAACACTTTTGCTGCTTTCTGACAGCAAGGCAGAAAACTGAATAAATCATCAGCATCTTCTCTATTTAAAATAAAGAAAGCCTCCACAGGATTAACCTGTCCTGTCCTTGCTTCTGTGGTGTATTCCAGGGCTGAAGAGGCAGATCCAGTGTTGTTCCTGGAAACCAAATCAGGATGGTGATGCTTTCATATAGTGTCTGACCATGCTTTTCAGAGAAAAAGAGCTCCTCTCCGAGCTACTAACACAAACCTTGGACAAGGCATGTTTGTTCATTCAGGGAAGAAATTGAGTAATCAGCACATTGCTTTGACTTTGTTAATATTTTCATTTTCTTTTTAACAGACATGCTGTTACTGTTGTTTGCTGGGGAAGGCTGCCCAAGTTCAAGGACAGAGTTGTGAGCCCAACCCGAAGATAGGATATCAGTGTGGAATTGTCTTCAGAAACTGCTGTGGGAAAGGAGAAGAAGGGATTGATCTGTCCATCAGTGATTATGCTCCTAAAAAAGAGCCAGGTACTTTATTGCATACTTAAAAGAGTGAGACACAAAATGATGCAGGGTACAAGGAGTGTTTTCACTTTAAATGATTTCTGTTGGAATTCCTCTAATTTGACATCTCATCTGAGTAATTTAATGATGCATGTTTTGGAGCTCATTTTTTTGGCTAGTAACAGCTGAAAGGCTGTTGTTGAAAATAAGAGGTGGGAAGAGGTCACTTTGTTTCTGGTGTCAGAACTTAAATGTACAAGAACTTATTTTGGCAACTAATGATCTTACTTTGGAAGCTGAATATAAGCTATTAATTTTAATGGCATTTTGCCCACTGACAAATGCTTAATTAAAATGAAAATCAACAAACAATTCTTTGAATTGTGTTGAAAAGCTAGAGGGCCTTCGCCAGCTCAGCAGGATGAAAATGTTGCCATTATGTGAGAGGCAAATGCCCACAAACCAGAGGGATTTGGAATGCCTGGACTGCCTGGAAGAACTGAAGGTCACCAGGAAATGTGGAAACTGTTTCTTTTGATATTACCAAAGAAAGAGGGGTACCTAGATGGCAGGTACCTTCTCCATAGCTAGTCCACAGATCTGAAGAGGATGAATGAGTACAGACTGACCTTTATATACTTCCATTTGTTTGGGGTTTTTTTTCCCCCTTTTTCACTCAGACAGACCTGAAACTGCAGACAAGTCATGCTGTGTGGTGTTGCCTCCCTCGTGGGCTGCTGAGCACTGAAAACATACCATCTAGCTGGCAGATCACAGGCAACAGATTTTGGGGGACATCCTCCTAATCAATCATTTAAATGCAAGCCCCATCACAAAAGCTTGCACTGGTCTGCCTGAGCCAGCATGTTATCAGAGTTGTTCCAGGTCTTTCCAGCCTGGCTTGTCTCAGTGTCCCCCTTATGAGGTAACATCTGGAATTTCCCTTTTGGGCAGTTTCTCTGTGTGTGCTGTTGTCACAGGAGGGGAATTTCCCCTGCCCTTTAGCACTGGACTTGTAGTTACCTCATACTCAGACATCTCTGCTAATAACAGAAATTTGCATACTCAGTGTACCTGCATGGCATGAGAAGTATGCCATTATGAGAACTGTGAGCATGGCAGAGCATTTCCCTGCTTGCCTTTGTGGGCAAGTGACACACACAACAATCATTAGTGTGGTTATCGTGGCACACATAAGAGCCACTGTGCATTGCAAAGCTGGGGCTGTGTCCACGAGCAGGGCAGGACAATGTTCTCATCATTCAGCTAAAAAACAAGCAGGTGTTTGAACATACATCAAATAACACTATGGACAATAAAAAATGCCTGTAGAAGGGTAGAGCTAACAACACAAACAGACATTTTGGTTCGTTGTGGAGGGGAGATGAGGCTCCATTTTGCAAGGCAGATTTTTGGACTAGAACCTTGTGTTTGTTGTGCCACAGCAGTGCATGAAGGGCATTCTGCTGCAGGGGTGAGGCAAGCTGGCTCTCTGAGTCACACAAAGTCTTGTCCACAGGTCAGACTTGATGGTCTTGGAGGTCTTTTCCAACCTAATTAATTTTGTGATCTCTGGTGGTGTGTCCCCAGAGGCCTGTACCAAGCCCAACCAGACCTGAGCAAACTGATTCCATCAGATTGCTTTGCATAACTGAGATGTGCCCCTATGGCCTGAGGATTCAGTTAACCAACCCAGCCTCATGCCATTGCACAAACACTGCTTGCACAAACACTGCTTTCACATCCTCTGTGCATCACTTGCTTGTAAGTGACTGCTGGAGGAATGGGCTCATGCACAGTCACTGAAACAAGCTCAAATTTCCAAGTCAGTAAGCAGAGTATTTTGGTGTCTTTTTTTGCACACTACCAACCTACCTTTGCCCCTGTGTTCAAAGTTGTGGGATTGGAGAAAGTCCATTAGCTGGTTCTTTGGGGATGCAGTGGATTCAGGATGTGTTTGGCCCTTGCATGTTCTCATGTGGAGAGAGTGGACTCTTGGAATATGCACATGTGGCAGGAGTACCACAGAATAAAACTCTCCAATGTATATAAGTACATTTGAAAGAATGCTGTAAGTATGTGCCCAAAAACTTAGGTGTGGAGTTCTTTTTGAAATGAAGTCTAAATAAATAACTGAGGTTAATCTGATTCTCATTAAATCTCTGAGTACCCCAAGCTACTGTAAAGTCAGTGGAAACCAAGCATGCCTCAACAACATGCCTTATGAAAATGAGGTTAAGCTCTGGTTAAAAGCCTGACATTAAGAACCTGTGTGTGAAAATATCAGTCCATATGTAATCTATGATCACAGTGTGACTTTCATATTGAATCAGTCAGATGGAAAATGCCCCATGGCCATGAGCATTTGCATGTCAAATTTAAGTAAGAAATAGCTGTAAAATATGTAAATAATGCTTTTAAATTTTGTTCTGGTTTGTCCAAAACCCTGGTGTGAGTTCCATCCCAGGCACACAGTGTTTTACCTTGAGAAGAAAAGTGCTTTTTCCTCTAATGCCTATCTTTCCTCTTTTCAGTTGAAATTTCAAAGGAGGAACTAGACCAAGAAGATCCTTATCTGCATGATGGCTGCAGAGGTGAGTCAGGTGACCAGTCCTGCTAGCCAGCTCTTTTGTGATTGCTTTCAATAAAGTGAAGCCACATTAGATCTAGCCAAAGCACTTTACCTGGCATAGTTATGGGTAAAAAAACCATAAGGAAGAGCTTTTCCAAGGAGTAATGGCCCATTATGTGATGTCTAAATAGTGCCCAAATACAAGGGAGGCATTGTCTCTCACAGTGCAGTCCATCTTACCCAACTGAAGCTGAGACAATACATTTAACTTCTACTTAACTTCTAGTGGGTAATACCTCAGAAGTGTCACCTTTGAACCTGTGGAGTACTTTGGATTCTTCAGAATATGGTGATCCTATATTAAATATGTGCATCTTTTATTTTTCTCTTGGTGTTTGAATATCAGGGTGTTTGAATATGAAATTAAACTTGTTTGAGATGCATCACCTGCAGAAAGGAAGACAAAAGTGGCTATTGTTCTGATTAGTCATGCTGCTCTGCCTCCTTGGAAATGTGCATTTGGAATATTGCTCTGCTAAGTATTCAGATTTATTGCTTGTCACATATGATTTACATGTCTGTAAACCTAAATCAGCAGTGATTCATTGTTTTCTGCCAGCATTTCAGAACTCAGAAATGTATTTAGGATAAAATCAATTTAATAGGCTTTTATTCCAGTTGAAAAATGATTTACCGTGCTCCATGTTCTACAGCTGTTACACTCTGGAGAGAATGGGAATATCTACCAGGTCATTAGTGAACCAGAGTCAACAGTGCCTCTCCTCCTTGTCTCCAGTTGCTAATTAGAGGAGATGACATAGAAATATGTGTTACATATTTTCTAGCATTATTTCTTCATGTAATCAGTTGTTGTATTTCCCAGTTAATCAGCTGCCTGCAGGAGATGGATTGGTACTGCTGTTTGCCAATGGGTGGTTCTGTCTACAGTATATTTTCTGATAAACTTGGCATGTCAAAATTACTTGTAATTTCCTGAACTTTAGCAGGGGAAACTTAAATTTCCTAGGCAATGGAACTTCCAGCAATTTGTTTTGGAGCACCTTCATGTTAGATGGAGAAATTAATTCTGTTCTTCCAACACCCCCACTACAGGTTTTACTGTGTCAGGATGGAGCTCACAGTATTAGCAGAGATTCAGAGAGTAGAGGCTGTTGATCTCAGCTACAAAACTACCTAATTTTCAGTGATGCATGAATGGCTCTGTCCTCATTAGAAACTGTTGTACTTAAGAATTTATTTATAATGTATTATAGCTGCAATTGCTCACATGGATTGTGCCTATCTCACACCTTTTGTTTAATGCCTATCTAAAAAACAGGACATGGGTTCTGTTTGTAGTAAGAATAACTGCAGCCTTACAACAAATATTTGTTGTTGGAAGTATATAACCTTTTCTCTGTTTTTAGAATACGAAACTTTAAAATATTAATTTCTATCTTAACAAGGTCAGAAAACGTTTTCTTAATGATAAGCCAAATTTTGTGTAAATTCTCTGTAGTATTCTCTGTTTGTCAGAATAACCCTTCTTTTATTATTTTTGGAGCTTTCAGTGTTTAGCCCTTTCTTTCTTTTGTATATGTGTATTAACTTATTTTCTAAATAAATCAAGTATCCTGTAAATTAATGGTTTGTTTCAGTTCCTATGAGGAGCCCCTTAATTACATGAGGCCTTTTAACATCTCCATTAGGTGGTGGTCCCTGCTCTCAGCAGTGCAGAGACACAGGATCCAGTTACGTCTGCTCCTGCTTTGTTGGCTATCAGCTCCAACCAGATGGTATCACCTGTGAAGGTAAGAGAAATAAAGCCATTGTTTTGATCATAAATATTCTTGCTTTAAAAGAGCAAGAATAGATACAAAAATACCCAGAGAGAAGAGAGCAGAATATGCTTATGTCAGCTGGGTAAAGAGGTGAAGTCATAAAAATTTGATTTGAATGGAGTGTTGAAGGGAGAATTACAGGAAAATGAAGTTAAGAGAGGTCAGTGGAAAAGGTGGAGAATTTAGAATGGAGAAGAGGCAGAGTTTGAATTTGTTGTTGTGAATAAAACCAAAACAGAATACCTATTCCCTCTTGTAAAAGTGGATTGCTGTTGATAAGGCAGACAAAATAAATAGAGTAGGATTCTTTAGCTTGTTAAGGACACAGCTGATAGAAAGGATTAATGTTCTTTATGAGTGGCATGCCAATTGTCAAGGAAGGATTGTTAGTACCTCAGATACAAACTTCAGAATATAAAATAAATATTGATGATTGGTAAGATTAACACTAACCTAATTGGACATAAAAAAAGGAAGAGCTTTTACATTTCATACATATGGTTGTTAGATTTTCTTACACATTCAAAGTAAAAATGAGAAAGAAATTCACAAAGGAAATGTCTATCAGTAGCTGTGAAGTAGAAAGCCACAACTTGGCTCAGAGAGTCCCTCAACCATATGTTGGTGGGATGCAGAGCAAGGCGAGGATTTCTGAAAGTTTGCTTCATTTATATAGTCACTATAATCTGACCATGAAATCACTGAGGTTGGAAAAGACCTTAAAAATCATCGAATCCAACATAAACCAAACACTGCCAACTGCACAGCAGACCTTGTATACACATCTTAGCTGAAACAGCTTTAGACACATCTGGAGACATCATCTAGACATCTACTAGACTCAATCAGATGATGTTGAGTCTTTGCTCTCACTCAGTTAAACTTCCTCTTAAGAACAGTGTGTCAGCAAGTCCTGGTACCAACAGGGTCCAAATGTCTTGGCTGGCTCATGCCCTGGTGACAGCTGTGTAGCAGGATGTGAATGTGAGGCCAAATCCACACTTTTGAATCCAGAGGAATTCCTGGTTGGAGGTGTGCCCACAGCGAGCCTTCAACCTGGTCTCTTCCCAGGTACATCATGCTCCTTATTTACACTCTCTCATTTACTTTTAAATAATTTTGCATATTGTAGATATTAACGAATGTATCACTGGAACACACAACTGTGGGATTGGACAAACCTGTGTCAACACATTGGGGTCCTTCCGCTGCCAGCGGGACACGAGCTGCGGAACTGGTTACGAGCTGACAGATGACAGTCGCTGCAAAGGTATGTCCTGTGCAGAGAAACTAGAACCTTCCAGGCTTTAGTTAAAAACTAAGCACATCATCGTGTCATGCTCTTTGGGTTTTGGTAAATAAGACACACACACTTCAAGGACAGCAGTTTTTCCACCTCGCAAAAAAACAGATCATGCAGCTGGGGGCTGCTGCAAAGACTTCCAGGAGAGATAACTGTATTTCACACTGGCAGTTTGTGTTGCGTGTTAGGAGCTGCTCTAGGGACTAAAACAGGTGATTTCCAAGGCCCAGAACTCACACTAGACACAACACCCTGGAGATTATTTCTGGACAGCTCGTCTGGTCTGTGGGATTGATTGCTCTTTTATGAGTGCAGTGCCTAAAGTCCTGCTCTTGGAGCATATCTAGTGGTTTAGATGCACCTGAATGAATCAAGTTTGCACATTCTGGAGTGTGAAACAAAGTGTGGCAAGTGGAGCAACCAGGTGATTCAGTTTGAAAATGTGAAGGTGGATGCATCTTTAGAAAAAGAAAGCAAGCTTTTATCCTTAGGAGGTTACACAGGGATTAATTTCTTAATGACAGCATTCCTAGGGATTTAAAAATGTAAAGGGGTTAAAACCGCTGTTCAGCTAGTCAAGAACAAAAAAAAAGTTACTTATTTCAAGTTCCATCTAGCTTAAAGAATGCTCTTATGTGCATCTGTAACTTCACCTGGCGTGCTGCCTTTACAGAGATTTAAATTAGCAGCAAACTCCAGTTGATGTGAAATTGGTTTTCCCCATGAGAAAGTCTGTTCCCCCTAAGCTTAGACTGTTTTGTAAGTAAACTAATTTCACTCCACTGAGTAAATTAACTCAACCAAAATTTTAGGTAAGGTTTTACTGTAGGAACTGATCAGTGATGAATAATAAAAAGATTGAATAAAAAAAGATGATGAAGAAACTCCAATGCCAAACCTGTAGAACATCATGCAATGTTTTTGGAAGTATCGTGGTGTAGCTGTGATCCCTTTGAAGTAACACTTCCATTGGTTTGAATGACACCAGATTTAGGCCAGCAAATAACTTACTGGCAAGTATTAACATATTTCTCTGTTGGAAAAAAAGAGTACAGATAGTAAATTATGCCCGCAGCTAATGTTAGAAAGTTCTTATCTGGGTGAGATATATTAATAGTGTTAATTATTAATGCTGTGTTAATAGTGATAAAAATAGTTATGTATGGTTTTTAAATGCCAAGTAACAAGACTGAGCTGTGCTACGTGTAGAACCCTGCTAAACCCAGTTCAGTATTAACCCAACCCAAACTTCAACTGGTTTCCACACTCGTTTCTTAAGTCCCATAAAGCTCTAGGGCTGCTGTTGTATCAACTGCATGAATGGGAAAGCTGAGGTATCCTTTTGCTGGGGAGCTCTGTATTTTGATAGCTTTAGGAGAGTTCATCCCATTGACAGTTGACAAACATTAAATTTTAGTTGCTTTATGTGGACAGGACTACATTTGTGAGTGAAGCCTCATTTGCTGTTGTCTACTTTATCTGCTTTATATGAATAATAATTTATTCAGAAATATTTATTGTCTATTCTGAACAGGAGTAGAATATTAAAGAAAGCAGAAGTCATATTTATTTGCATTTTAAAGCATAATAATGCAGGGATATTGCAAGCCTTAATATGGATGGGAATCAAAGCCAATTAATTCACTTATGAAAGAAATGAACAATATCTGCACTAGATCTAAAGCTAAAATGAAAATTGCACTTGGGTAATTAAATCTTCCTGACTTGAAATCCCAGCACACTGCTGAATCAAGGCTGAGCAGCCTGAATGTGATGCTTTAGGTACTCTATAATAGTTTTGAATCATTTTGTTGTGAGAACTAAACTTGTAAAGCATAATATGCACAGACACCCCCCTATGTATAATATTAATAATGAAACTGTAAAAAAATCTTAACCTACATGGTTTTACTGTGATCTTTTTTGAGGTAGGCAGATTAATCCTGGATCACAGAATTCCAGGAAGGCATGCTGAGGATTAATCTATGTGATGATTTTAATGATGTCTTATGTTTTAAATGTAATGGAAAAACCCGTCTAATTCCTGCTAACAATTTTTTTTTGTGATGTACCAGATATTGACGAATGTGAGACTGGTACTCATAACTGCCCCCCCGATTTTATCTGTCAGAATACTCCAGGATCTTTCCGCTGCCGACCCAAGCTACAGTGCATGAGTGGGTTTATACAAGATGCACTAGGCAACTGTATTGGTAAGGCTTGTTCTTGTCTTGGGGAATGCTCATGTGTTGCCTGGGAGAAAAGTTTTAGTGTCACTGGGTAGGTTCTGAACTGCTCAAGCCGTTCTTCATCTGTGTGTGCATTGCTCTTTCCTTGATCCCACAGATGTAAGAGTGACAGATGAAAGACATTTAAATAAAAGACTTAAATGTTAGGTTGCTAAGAGGTAAGGGTGACAGATGAAAGACATTTAAATAAAAGACTTAAATGTTAGGTTGCTATTTTTAATGAGATTGCATTACCTGAAGTGGTTGTTAGCTGCTTAAATCTTTGGGTGTTTTATCTGAAACAAAATTTGTAAAAAAAATTGTCATTTATTTTATCTAACCCTGTCCAAAAGGTTTTAGCCAAAGGTTTATGTGGAAAGTTGTAATTATGGCATCCTCTGGAACACCCTTTGATATTAGTCTGCTTGATTTACAGGCATGTAGGTCTTTCCAGACCTGTCCCATGTTATAGCCCATCAAGAGTCTTGCTGTGTATGATAGGACAGTTATAACATACTGTAGAGAGGAGTTTTACTTTAAAGACTGATGACGATCTTGTCAGGCCAATGCCTTGTTTCCAAGACTCCCCAAAACCAGAATTATAGCCTTCACATAAATGCGTTAAAATTACTGGTTTCCAGCAGGCTTTATATGAATTTGTCTAATGTGACCTACAAATCTATCAGTTATTCCCTTGAGTATTATTTTCAAGTCTCAACTCAACTTTTAATTCCCCCATTGGCATAGCAAGCCTTGGACTTGTGGAACTGGCCGAGCAGCAGCAGCTGCCAAGTTGCACTCATTATCAGCCCCTTATTCTCCTGTAGTGTTGAAATCTGACACTGGAAACAGACTGAAAACAAAACTGCAGCCTTTAAAATGAGGGGGGCCAGTGCCTGTGCACAACAAGCCTTTTGCAAGCACACGCCTGCCACAGGTAGTGCCAGGTCCATGGCAGCTTTTGATTAACTTGCTCTCATGGACATCAGTAAAGCCACGTCAATTTGCAGCAGCAATAGTTATGGCCCGTAAAATACATTTGCTCAAAACATTTAGGCAGTTTCACAGCCTGACTGGGGATCAAATGTGTGGAGTTGAGGGGATTTTGTTGTTGGATTTGTGACTCTGATCATCATGTAGAAGCTAAGAGCTCCATCAGAACACACAGACTGAAGCAGAACTGGATAAGATGGTGAACTGAACTGTTGACCAGTGCTTTGTACATTTAGGAGAGACTTTTAAAGGCTTAGAAACAAATACAAGTTCTATACCAAATTTCTACTGCTTTTCAGTGGTATCTATGGCTTTTATACCTCCCCGGTCTTCACTCTGGAAGCATTGTTATCAGTGAAGCTAAAATGTGATGAAAAGTTGTCTTCTCCCACAGGCAGAACTTCTCTCTGAAGGGTTACATAATAAGAGCATCTTACCTTAAACCTCTTGAGACCAGAAAGAGTTATACTGACTTGTGCCCTTGTAGATATCAACGAATGCCTGAGTACCAACATGCCGTGCCCAGCTGGCCAGATCTGTATTAACACTGACGGCTCCTTCACCTGCCAGAGAATCTCACCCAGCTGTGGCCGAGGTTACCATCTCAATGAAGATGGGACAAGATGCGTAGGTGAGTGGCAGCTGGGAAGAAAAAGCAGTTCTAAGAAAATAACTCACATAAATAATTTATGTTTACCAGTTTCTTGCGCTTTGTCTGGGTTTTTATCATTCCCACAGTCAGTTCTTCGTTCTGTTCTTTCCCTCATGGCAGTCCCAGCAAGTGAAGAATGACAAGCATTCACCCTCTATCCTCATAAAACTCAGGAAACCTTACAGTTTGAGAAAAGGAATAATTATTATCAGCCCCCATAAATGGCATTGGCTGTGACTGCATCAATGGAACAATGCTGTGTGGTCCCAAATCTCCTTAGTACAGGGAGATAACACGAGGTCAACTTAATGCTCCACGGAAGCCATACAAGTAACACTGAAAGATATAGATGCCTTTGGCTGGCTTTTAACTGAGGTGGTTTTAGCAAAGCCAGGCATTTTTGTATGTGTTTTCAATTTCTGTGAGTGGCTTATCAAAGCACTACTGATGACTCTGGATCTCAAACACCTTAGACTAGATGAAAATCTGATCCACAAATATGAGTATGCATAATAAAACAATTTTGCCCCTGAATTCCTCCAAAGATTGCCTGATTACATCATTGTTTTCATCCCAAGTCCATCAGCATTAAGGACACCTTAGAGCTAACCTGCTTTGGTACGAATAGTTTGGATTTGTGACTCTGATCTTCTGAAACCTGAAAGCATGATAACATCTTGTTTTCTGTTTCAAAACACTTTATAGCCACCAGAGGACAAAAAAATTATGTTAACATGTTGCTCTTCTCTCAACTTGCATAGTTAGAAGTGTACTTAAAATCCCATTTTGTTTTAGATGTGGATGAGTGCTCATCCTCCAACCAGCCCTGTGGAGAAGGGCACGTTTGTATCAATGCCCCAGGCAATTACCGCTGCGAGTGCAAAGCTGGCTACACCTTTGATGTCATCAGTAGGACGTGTATTGGTAAGTTGCACCATCAACCCAAATACCTGCAGCCACAGCACTTAGAAAATGATCCAGTGTAAAGAATGTTACTGCTCTGTGCATAGCCTCTGTCATCAGAATGTAGAATTGACTGCTCTGTTATCTGGCTGACTCTAAAACCATATTAAAGAATTGCTGATACTTCAAAAGAAGCTGTATTAGTATTGTCAACATGTTATCTGCTATCCTATTAAAAGGTAAGGTTGTGAGAGTGTGTGTAATTGTTTTCTGTGATATTTTTATAAGCACCGACAGCAAAAGATTTCTTTGGAAGATCAAAGCAACTTTCTCCTGTATAGATCTAATCCAATTATGCTCTGGCGTGCTTCTAAATGAGCATTTTGAGGACTTTTTCTCTCTTTAGTATGAACCTTAAATCTGGAAAATAACAATCAAACTTTTATAATCACATTCTTGTCCAGACTGGCATTGCAGTGAGCCAGGCAGTGCACAGAGCTCTCTGTGTGTTTGTCATTGCAGATATCAATGAGTGCAGGCGCTACCCCGGCCGCCTCTGTGCTCACAAGTGTGAGAACACTCCTGGCTCCTACTACTGCACTTGCACCATGGGCTTCAAACTTTCAGCTGATGGCAGATCCTGTGAAGGTACGTGTTGCCCTGTTCTTTTGAGTTCTTCTAAGCCTTCTGATGTTTACATTCTTGTAACAAAGTTTCTCACGGACTTTATGTAAATAATTAATTGTTTTGCATTCTTTTCTGGAGAAGAAATTTGATGGACTGTTGGTTTGTCCAGTGTCATTGGAGACATGGCATTTTCACCCTCCAATAATCCACTGTCACTTTTGGAAATCTGTAAATGTTAGAGTCAGAATTAAACTTCCTTTCTTTTTTTACCTTGGAGATTCCAGAGTCCACATTGTTCTATTTCATGTCCTAAAGTGACAGGTATGGCTGGCAGTGCTTTGGTTATGGAGTGTGAGAAACAGCTCATTGCTCTTTTAGCTGTTTTTTATTTTAGCTTGCAAGACTGCACTGGAATAGCATGAGGAATCATCACAGTGCAGTCTCTTTGATTACATGAGTGCTGCTGTGCTTGGTCGAGGCCACTATAGCCCACAGCTTGAATATATCACCCTTAGACTGCATCATTTCACAGGAAATGAGGGCAGAGCCTCAAGCTGCAGCAGGGAAGGTTCAAGTTGGACATCAGGAAGAATTTCTTCCCTGGCAGGGTGGTGAGACATTGGAAGGGGCTTCTCAGGGAGGTGGTGGAGTCCCTCTCCAGAAGGTGTCCAAGGAATGCCTGGACGTGGCATTCAGTGCTCTGGTCTGGGTGACAAGATGGGGATTTGGCACAGGTTGGGCTGGATGGTCATTCCAGCCTGAATGGTTCTGTGATGCAGAGGTGCATGGGTCTGCTTTTGCTGCACTTTGAAGGGTGATTCAACTCAGTCAGGTTCAAAACCTTAAAAACCAGCCTTGTTGATATCCAGACACAAAAATGTAAGTGTTGGCCTAAAGATTCCCTCCCAGTCTCACACTTTGAAGTACAGAAGGAAATTATAGCACGGTGCAAATTAACCTAGACTGCTTGTTAACAGTAACACACTGAGAGTCTCCTATTTCCAGGTCGCTCAGTGACATGTACCATCCGTTTTTAATTTTAAAAATTACCTTACAAAATTGTGTCTTATTCCAGTATTAGGAGTGATGAATATTGCAAGAAATTTGGGGTTCAGGCCTCTAACTCTGCATTTCAGATTTGAATGAGTGTGAGAGCAACCCCTGCAGTCAAGAGTGTGCCAATGTGTACGGCTCCTACCAGTGCTATTGCCGCCGGGGATTCCAGCTCAGCGACATCGACGGCATTTCCTGTGAAGGTGAGCTCTGTGGTGCTGCAGGGAGACAGTGGGTGGCCATTTCTCATTGTTGCTGTAACAAACATGAGCAATTCCATGTAGTTTTTTCATTTTAACATTTGCATCTCTTCGGTATTTTATTTTCTTTATTTTCTAACTGTATTTAATGAAGGTCTCCCGCCCATGTCCCTTTCTAGAAGCATCTCTTTGTATGTGCGGTGTCATTTTTGCTGTTTACACTAAATTGCTGCTTGGCATAATTTTATAAAAGAAATTTGTCTTTTTACTGAGGAACTACCAGAATTTCTAGCCTTCAGCAAGTGGAGATATGAGCATATTTATTTTATATATCCTCTTTTTATGGCTGATTCTGAACTAATGTGTTCTCAAATACGAGGAAGACGTGGGTGTGACCTTGTGGCCAAGATCCTGAGCTTGGACTTAGGTCTCCAAGACTTACTAAACAGTGAGGCCTTGGGCAGAACACCTAATTCTGATTTCCTTTTGTAAAAATAAGGATAAAACTATTCCTCTCCGTCCTTTTTTTTATGAAACACTACAATACATGTCATTGTAAAGTGCTTGCTCTTGTCCATTACTTTGTCTCTTGGGCTCTCATATAGCTTTCAATTTTCTTCAGAGTGCTATTGATTCCTCAAAATCTTTGCTATTTAGATGTTGTTGACTAGAGCCACACCTATCTGATGATTTTGATTGCCCAGAAATTAGAATAATCAAATTGTATTTGAAGCTCATAGCAGGAGCATTGCACACGTGCACTGGGCTGAATGTCAAGAACACATAAAAAATTAGTGGTGCTTTTTTTCTTGCAGATATTGATGAATGTGCTTTGCCCACTGGAGGACATATCTGTTCCTTTCGATGCGTTAATATTCCTGGGAGCTTTCAATGTACTTGTCCCTCCACTGGGTACAGGCTGGCACCCAATGCACGAAACTGCCAAGGTGGGTTCAATAACTGCAGGGAGACCTCACTGGATTGTGTAATTCTGACAAGTTCTAGCAGTTTTTGTACTTAAAAAATGCCTTTCCTACGACATGATAGGTACTGCAGTACACATCAGCTTAACATCTGAAGAAATAATACATATACAAGAAATTTCAGTTACAAAGTAATTCAGTAGAGACTACTTTTAAAAACATTATTAAATAATTATAACAAATTCTTACAATGAGGATTCCAATGTTGAAATGCTATGAGTTAGTTTAGCCATTAAAAGGAAATACCCTGCTGTAAACATGTCAGCAAATATTTAGGTGTTGTCCACTTAGTGGCACTGCTGCTCTTCCTTTTCTTCTTCTTGCTGGTTGGTTGGGTTCGTGTTCTTCTTTTTAGTTCTTCTGTCCTCCCCTTGCAATCCTGCAGTAATGTTTAATTGCACCCCATGTTCTGTAGTACCTGATAGGATACTGGCCACATCTTGAGTGCTGTGTCCAGTTCTGGCCCCCCAGTTTGGGAAGGACATTGAGATGCTTGAGTGTGTCTAGAGGAGGAAAGGAGGCTGGAGAGGGGCTTGGAACACAAACCCTGTGAGGAACCACTGAGGGAGCTGGGTGTGTTTAGCCTGGAGAAAAGGACACTCAGGGGTGACCTCATCACTCTCTACACCATCCTGAAGGGTGGTTGTAGTCAGGTGGGGTTGGTCTCTTTCTCCAGGCAGCAGTGATAGAACCAGAGGACACAATCTCAATCTGCATCAAGGGAAATACAGGTTGGATATTAGGAAAACTTTTTCATGCAAAGTGTGATAAAGATTTGGATTGGTCTGCTCAGGGAAGGTGGTAGAGTCACCTTCCCTGGATGTGTTTAAAAAAAGACTGGATGTGGCACTCCATGCCACATGGAGGGTTTAGTTGAGGTGTTAGGGCTGGGTTGGACTCCATGATCTTGAAGGTCTCTTCCAACCTTGTGATTCTGTGAATTCTGTGATTCTGTCATTGTCTGGCATCTTCAAGGAGAGGAAAAGCATGTGTTTAACCCACATCCCTGTTTCCATTTGGCAGATATCGATGAGTGTGTTGCAGAAAGCCACAACTGCTCTTTCAATGAGACCTGCTTCAACATCCAGGGCGGCTTTCGCTGCCTGTCTTTGGAATGTCCCGAGAATTACCGCAAGTCAGGAGATACGTAAGTACCTTCCTCCTCAAGGTTAATCAGGTTTTTCATCATAATTTCCTCAATGTCATGCTCTGCTGACTGAACACAGAGCAATTTCTAGCAAATATGTATTGTGTGTGCAGGCCTACCCTTTGTTTTGCACTCACAAGTCTGGTTTCTTTCTCATGCTCCTCTTTCTAAGAAAAAAGATACTCCCTTAAAAAATGCCCTGTGTCAGTGGTTTGCACCATAATGATCTCCAGATCCGTAAGCAGATACTCTCTTCCTGGCTCCCTTACAAGACAGCCTGATAGGAGGGCTACACTGGGCTTTGAAATCCTTGGCTTTTATTTCAGAATCACACATAGTCTTTCCTTACCTTCACACTTCAGCTGAAGCCTTCTTTTTAGCTCCCTCTCTGGATTCTCACCTGTACTATTGCAAAGCATTGCAAGAATGTCTTATTTTTGGTACCATTTAATTGAATATTAGAATATTAAGGGGTTAGAACGGACCTTAAAAATCACCTAGTCCCAACCCTCTCTGCCATGTACAGGGACATGTCCCACTAGACCAGTTTGCTCAAGGCCATATCCAAATTGGCCTTGAGCACTGCCAGGGTTGGGGCATCCACCTCACTGCCCAACATGCTTCAGTGTCTTACCACCCTCACAATAAAAAATTTCTTTCTAATACCTTACATAAACCTCCCTCTTTCAATTTGTATCCAATTTTCACCTGTATTAAAAACCTGGGAATCCTAGCAAGGGTGGTATATTAGCTGCAGCTCATAATTGTGTTTCTAACCTAGCTCAGAGATAGTCTGTGCATTCTGGGTGTAGTAAACAGGAGACAGCTCTGGGAGGAGGGGCAGCTGGCAGCTCTTTTATACCCATCAAATAGAGCCAGCAGAGAGGAGAAGTTGCTGCAAACTCTCATTTGTGCAGCTAGACTTTGTGGCTTGTGAAGGTGATGCTTTGCCTCCTGCCCTGTGGCTTTCAGACCACCCTGTACTCCAGCAGTTCTGCTTTTCATGGTCCCCCCGTGTGCCCCGTATTCAGGTAAGTGTGTGCTCCACCAGCCAGGGAGGAAAGCTGATAAATCCCATTTGTTATCAGCCCACTATTGCTTTTCCCACTCAGTGCTGGTATAGCCACCATCTGTCAGACAGACCTGAATCCCTCCTCTGTAGAATGAAGCCAACAATGCTCTCCATCTCAGGGATTTTTTGGGGATTAGTTAGTTTGCATTTAAGCTTTAGTCTTTGAAATGTCACATAAGTGGCACAGCAGATGTATTTGACCAGAATGCTGGAGAGGAAGTTTGTGGTGTAAACTCAGCTATTTATAAAGCATGCTTGTGTTCTGGGAAGGGTAATAGGAATTGAATTTTAAATCAACTTTGTCACATCAGTGACCAAGCAGTGCCTCATGATGCAGATGTTCTCTTTATTTGTAAGACTCTGGGTTCATTGGTATCCTAATTTTTAAAAAAGTGAAAAAAGTGCAATGGGCCACTAGGCAGAATTAGCAGATTTTCTTACATTCCTGCATTGCAGAGTTCAATTTATAAAATACCTGTCATACACACATTACATTTAATTTTCTCTCTTAGCTCTATTTGACTTCATTGGCTATTTGAGCTATGTGGGATGTTCTGGGAAAGCAGTAGAGTGTCTGAATGATTTTCTGTGTCTAGGTTGTTGGGCTCTGTAATGGCTTTCTCTCCCTAACTCAGACCTACCCATAGGGTGAGATCCTCCTGGTGTGCTCAGGCTATATTTAGGCTGAGTCAGACACATCCTGCAGCTGCTCAGTGAAATTCTAATTATTTTAATTCCTTCAGTTATTATCTTGTTGGATTTATTAGGTTTTCCCCTCTCAACAGCTACAGATAGACTGCTGAAAAGATGTTTGCATAAAGCAAAGAGAATGTGAGTTCCCTGTTGCTTTTGGTGAAGCACAGTGGGTTCCAGAGGACAAATAGGAATGTTACACCAGTGTGCAGGAATCAGGGTTTGTGGCTGGGATTACCTGGTGCTCACTGGGGAGCAGTTCATAAGGCAGCTCTTTAGCACCCTTTTTACATCCAAACTGCTTTACATCTGCTTGACTGAATCAGGTTTGCATATGTACCCCAGCAGGGCTGATAGCCAGCATATCTTTGTTACGCTCTGCATGATAACGACATTAAATTGCTTTTTCACCCAGGCTCTAAAATCAAAGCAGTTGGCTTCTTATCACACCTAGTACAGATACCATTTTTTATCTCCTTTTTATTCAGTTTCACCAGCTTGGCACATCATAAGAAAGACAACTTATTTTTCCATTCCCATCAAGCTGGAACCTCAGAAAAAATTTTTTACCCTGTTCCCCATTATTTTCTTTGGAATAGCTGTAATTTAATAGGTCTCAGTCCTGTAAATCCAAGTTTCCTTATTTTTCCTTAAAATCCTTATGTTCAGGCAACAGCACTCAGTGATCCAGAAGCTTCTTTACCAAGTGCCTGTAAAGCAGAGGGTTTTGCATGGTGGTGATTGCCATCAGGTAAAGTAATTGCAGGATCATCCCAAGCTATGGGCTGAAACCTCAGGATGCTGTTTAGATGCTCTGAGCTCCAGGAGGAAACAGTCAGTGTTATCTTCCTCAAAGACAGCAAAATGCCTGGCTTGATCTAAATGGTAACAATTTTATTGAAGGCCTTATCTCTTTTACTTAAATTCTGCTTTTTGTTTGTCATTGATCAGTCTGTAGGCTTGGGATTTTTTCCAGGATAGATAAGATCTGCTGCTCCTCATAATACAACTTAACTTGCTGCACTGCCTTGCCAAACAGTTTTTGTTTTCAAATTGCATAACAATTAACTTCTCTTTATATGGCACTGAAGTCTAACATTTGTAATATTTAAGCCAAGAAAAATAGTAGAAAAGATAAAGAAGCGTTTATGGCAACATGTCAGACGTGCTGCATTGAGCCAAATGGGGAACTATTTGTGTTTTCTAGACATGTCTGTGCATATTATTAAGGTTGCCTGGTGCTTATCATTATTAGGACATGATTTAACTCTTTAAAATTTTGCCAAAATGTAACCAATGGTTGAAATTTTACATGCCAGGTGTCTTACTCAGGCTCAAGTTTTGGCAAATTTCAGCCAGAGCAGTTCACCCATTTCCAAGAACAAGTGTAGAGAGGAACACACTGGTTTTAAAGACATTTTGGTGATTTATTTTTAAAATTTATTTTAGCAGTTTGCTGTCATGTTATGGAGCAGAAGTCTGAAATTTGTTATGAAATTGCTTTTGCACTTTTTGTCACCCTTAAAAAAATCCTCTGAAACTTTTAAAATTACAAAATTTGTATAATTTGCAAAATTGCATTCAGCCTTTTTTAAGAAATTAAGAAATTACTTGTTGGGTACACTTAATACACTCCTCTGTGACAAAATAGGCTCAGACATACCTAGAATCTTTCTGAGAGTTCTTTTGCTTCAAGTCCTTGAAGGATGAGGATTTCATAGCCTCAGTAGCAATCTGTATTTGTGTTTGGTTATCTGCCTCACTGCAATTTAATTCTTCCTATCAATAGAGAGGTCTTTTTCTTCCATCAGCAAAGAGTCTTATTCTGATTTAGTGGTCCTGAGCTTCTTATTGCTCTTCAAAGTAGTCTGAGACATGCAGATCCAACTCCACAGACTCTGAGCCTGCTCCCACATAAAGTCACAGTAGAGGAGCCCAGTCTGTCCTGGGCCAGGTTGGACAACCCCAGCTCCCTGGATAAGTGAGCTGTGTCTAGCAGGGGTGAGAGAGGAGACAACTTGGTAAGAAGAAAATGAGAAAAAAAATGAAAACTTGGAGATAAGGAGGTACATTCCCTTGAGCGTAGAGAGGGAAGGATCTGAAGGTATGTCAAGGTGAGGAGAATGAGTCTGGGAGATGCTTCAGGGGTAGCAGGTAAAATGGGGTAAAACTATAAAGGGGGAAACCACAGGGGTCAGGTCCTTATGGTCAAGGGTGGCTGATTCCAGGGAATTAATGACAGGACAAGAGGACAGCAGTAAGCATTCCTTCCCTGAAATGGTGGCCAGGCATTGGAAGGGGCTGCCCAGGGAGGTGTTAGAGTCCCCATTCCCGAAGGTTTCCAAGGAACACCTGGACGTGGCACTCAGTGCTCTGGTCTGGGTGACAAGGCTCTGGGTTACAGGCTGGACTTGATGGTCTTGGAGGTATTTTCTATCCTTAATGCTTCCATTATCCTATTGCAGTTTTGGGTGAGGACCACCAAAGGAAGTAATAATTTGGGATGGCAACACAAAGATCCTGAGGGAAAGGATCTGTGCTTTGGGTCTAGGGCTGTGAGGTGGAAACAGAGAAGTGTCAGCCAGGAGAGAATGGAACAAGAGGAGGATTGGCACTGGCTGATGCCAAATATTTGAGTGGGAGGCAAGGCTATAGGCTAGGAAAGGGGATAGGACGAAGAAACTAGATTAGGAAAGACAGATGAAGGAGACAAGGATTGGATGTAAAGGGTCAGTGCTGAGGGCTAAGACAATATAGTTCTGTCTCTTCTACAGCTTGAAATGTCCTAAAGGCTGTCTATCTCCAGTCAGGAGGAGCATACAGAGTGCTTGTCCATCCTCATCACTACTCTGTTGTATCCTGTTTTCCTTCCTGAAGTGGGGCTCCAGATTCTCCTCTGGTTAAGAGCTGTCTGTGAAGACCAACCATCAGTTGGTTTCATTCCCTTAAAGTTCTGGTTTGTTTAAGACAAAAATCACCTTCCCTGCACAGCTGATCATCAGCATCGATGTCCATGATATGGCAATGGCTCACCTGGACCTCATGGTGTGGTGCAACCTGCTGAAAAGAAGTCACACCAATGACTTGCTATTATCCACACCTAATAGCATGAGCAAGAGCCTTTGCAGTGGAATATATTCCAGGAGGCCTGGAAGACTGTTACAGCTCTGGAAATCTACAGCATAGAATGTATAGTGAGGGTATAGTATAATAAAACTTGGTTAGTTGTTCAGCA